TTAAACCAACAGTTTAGCACATCAAAATAAAAACAGTCATTGCTCAACAATCAATCACATACAAATTGAAACAAAAGAATCGCACCAAAGATGGTGTCTAAATAGTGAGAAAGAAATAAACCCAACAAATGATACCCTTAATAAACCAAACTTATTGGGTTACCCAATTACCCTTCATAAATAAAACTTATGGGATCACCTGTTGATAGTCCATCATCAAAACTAAACTTAATGAATAATCCATAATCTTATTAATCATTATCATTTATTTATTTAACTCAATTCTCGTGAACATAGATTTTTAGTCTAATAGTTGCCATCCCTATGTAATAATTTTCACCCAATTTGAGTGAACCAACGATAGCAAGAGTTGGCTTATTGATTGAAGTTATCATTCTTTTAAGTGTCTGTGAGTAATATCCAACTCTCATCACTTCAGTTTAACTAATTCAAAATCAATATATTCTAACCAAAATGGTAAATTTGATATTTCAACTAACTAATGAGAAAATTCACAAGTCTATGATAATACTACAATACCACCAAGTTAATAGTAAGATTTACCAACCATAGAGCTCTAGCTCAGTGGCCACCACCTGTCTTGGTGGGGTGGGAGGTTAGGGGTTCAACCCTTGCCTCTCACCAAATTGCCTGCCCCTCATGGGCAGCTCGGTTGGTCTCAGCAAACCTCCTTAGGAGCTGGTGTTCAGTGCCTGCAAGGATCCGAGTTTCGTGGTTATCGTGTCCGGACACCCACTCCGTCAGAAAAAAAAAAGAAAAAAAAATAGTAAGATTTACCATTTACCATGTAACCGTACTCAAAGCAGATATTCTCTGCCCTTTTTATGGTTTCACTTATTATCTCGTTTTTTCATTTTGAACCATAAAGTGACCCTTCTATATTTTTTTAAAATAATATTTTTTCCGGAAATTGATAATAATATCAATCTTTATTGGGGTTGATCCAAAGTCAGAAGAAGTAAATGATGGCAATCCAAATTCAATGCACCGCCAGCAGACATACACAACATACATAAGTGTATATCACTTGCATCCCACTTGTCTAGTGAGGTAGAATAGAAGTGTACAAATGGCACTACTAGTCAAGAAAACAACCGGCCGGAGAAGAAAGGCCCATGTCGGCCATCAGTCAAAAGAGGAGGAGAATCTAATTCCCAAAATCCCATTAATTTGCAAGTTTCTTTGAGATAATTTCAGAAACCTCCCCTGAAATTTTTGATAATTTCACTAAGCTCCTAAAGTTTGAAAAATTATACTTACCTCCCTTGATTTAATAGTTTTAGTAACAAAATCTTAAAATGATATTGACTTGGTCAATTTTTTAAATGAATACTCAAAAATGCCCTTGTGTAATGAGTTTTAATTTATTTTTCTATATAATTAAAAGATTATCTAGTATAATTATAAGGAAAATGTGTCAAATTTTTCGTGTCCATATCTACTATTAATAAATAACTATAATAATAATTTTATCATTATGATAGGGTACTTTTGATGGTATTTTATTATGGACTTAGATTTATAAAATAGAAAAGAAAATGTTGAAATAATTTATTTAGAGTTTATGAATTTTTCGGGTAGTGGAATTATCATAATTTGGTAGTGATTTTGGGTCCTTTTTTTAGTTATTGTTAATTTTAGTACCAAAAAATAGAAAACAAAAATCAGCAAAAACATTGAATTACATATAAAATTAATTCATCAAAAAAAACACTAGTTCGACGTTTGGTTACAATAGAAACTAGAAGCAATAGTAATAATTCTACAGTTTTATTGGTAAATAATTAAAAAAAAGGAATAAGAAGGAAAAAGAATGAAAAAATAATTTTAAAACTCATTCTAAATATAAACATACCAAATAAGGGAATTTCATTAAAATATTTAAGGGTAAAATTGTTATTTTAAATGACAAGGGAGGTATGTGTAATTTTTTAAATCTCAAGAGAACTCAATAAAATTGTCAGAAACCTTAGGGGAGGTTTCTGAAATTAGGATTTTCTTTTCCTAAAAACAAATCAAAAGATTATTTAAATTTGAAAGTAAATCCTAATATGAAGTGGTTTTCTTAATTAGGATTTTCCTATTCCTGAAGGGACACCGTCAAATTCTCCACTATAAAAGCTCACCACCCCGGCTTTATTAGGAGGACTACCTTTTCTTTCGTTACCTCTTACTGTACAATTATAGCATAGTACGTCTTCCATAGTGCCTGCAGAAAGAAAAAATCTGACAACCAAAGAAACTTCAAGTCTGCAAACATGTTGGTTTACCAGGATCTTCTTTCTGGTACACTTCTTTTCTTAACCTTTTCTGTCTGAAAACTTTGTTGCATGATACAACCTTAGCTGCTTTTTCTTGTAACAGTTCCTATGTTTTGTTTGCTTAAGAGTTTAATTTAATTCTTTTGTACTTTTTTTTTTGGTTGTCTTCTCGCATGAGTTCATACGTGTGAAAACCATGAAAAAGAAAAGAAGAAGAAAAACCCTTTAGATTGTATTGTTGGATGTAAACTTGTTATTTATTTGGTTTCTATAATTGGATACCAATTACGTGTTTAACGTTGGGGCTGATCTACCTGTGTGTTTCTTCGGTTATGTATTTCAATTCAAGGAAGAGAATAGTATCGGTGCAGAGTCTTTACTTCTGTCCTTCGTTGATACCAGAATGATTAGAGTTTACCCTGAAGATTATTTTAGGAGCACAAAACTAAGGAATTCTAGATAACCCTTCAAGGGAAACTTGGTCGGAAAATGATATCAAGCATGTTTAATTTCAATTTAGGAGCAATTGACTTGTTAATTGCCACTATTATTTAAGAAAGCACAAGTGCACTGCCTGTGTTGCTGGGGAATCTTCTAATCTCAGAGCATGTTGAGTTTTATGGTGTACACTAGTTGCCAAATTGTCAGTAAAAGTTTGTTGATACTGATTAATTGGGATCTAAAAATATTTAAAGATGGCTAATTGGTATACCTTTTACATAAGCTTAGCAGTTGCTTCTGTGGCTACCAGATTCATCGTAGCATTCTTGCAGAGTTTCTTGCAATTATGTTTTCCTTCTAATGTAAAGATTGAAACTTTATACTATTTCTCACGGATAGCTTTTTTTAAGCTGTGATTTGTGGCAATCTCTTTCCTGTGTGATCGGGTACTGGTCCTTTTTTAGCTGTCAACTGCATCAACTCCTCCTTTTAGTCTTTATTTATTGCTTCAAGAAAGTAATACTATGATATTTTTTATTATTTCCAGGCGATGAGCTTCTATCCGACTCATTCCCCTATAAGGAAATTGAGAATGGAATGCTGTGGGAAGTAGAAGGGAAGGTAAAGGCTTTCGTCCCTTTTTTTTTATTTCAACTATTTTTTGTTTTGTAGAATTGTTCTGTATCAGGAGGGAAAGAGACATTTTAGGCCATGCTTCACATATTAGCATGAAAAATTTATTTGTGACAAGTCAAATTTGACATCAATTATTGGAATGTTCAATCAGTGGGTCGTTCAAGGTGCTGTGGAGGTGAATATTGGGGCCAATCCTTCTGCTGAAGGTGGAGAAGAAGATGAAGGAGTTGACGACCAAGCAGTCAAGGTTGTCGATATTGTTGATACTTTCAGACTTCAGGTTGGTATACTTTTGCTGCAAAACTACTCCAAATTGGACCTCCTCTTTTATTCTTTCTTGTTATTCAATAAAGAGCATCTTGCCTCTTTGTAGGAGCAACCCCCTTTCGACAAAAAGCAGTTTGTTGCATACATCAAGAAATATATCAAGAATTTAAGTCCAAAGTTGGAGCCTGAGAAGTTGGATGCCTTCAAAAAGAACATTGAAGGAGCAACTAAATACCTCCTGTCAAAGCTGAGCGACCTTCAGTTGTAAGTCCACTCGATCTTTTCCCTGTCTCTGTGTCGACCCTATTTGATGAAACAGGATTCTTTCTCTACTTCCGCATTTGAAATTTTTGGATGAAAACATTCATTGATTGTCTGAATCTTTTTATGTGTTCTGCAGCTTTGTTGGTGAGAGCATGCATGATGAGGGCTCAATCGTGTTTGCATACTACAAAGAAGGTGCCACCGATCCAACTTTTCTTTACCTTGCACCTGGGCTGAAGGAGGTCAAATGCTAGAAATAAAGCGTGCAATAATCAGGAAGCTGTTTTGTGTAGTGGTCTTTATTAAGTTCAAGTTGTGCTAGTATTTGGCAGTAGAACACGCCTTGCCTTGGCGTTTTAAATTTTGATAGCTACATTTTCTTACATGCTTATATGTTTTAACAGAGGATTTTGAGAATAATATGAGTTCCCTAATGACTTTGCCAACAACTTACATCAGTGTAGTTTTGAGTTGTTATTTTTGGTTCATTGAGTTGCATGAAGTGGATGCCTTCTCAGATTAGTATCCTGCATAAACCAAGCTTGGGCATTGTTCCCCTGTATGCAAAATCAAAACTTTTCCTCATGCCATGTTCAGGTGGCAATCAAGAAGAAACAGAAGTAGGTGCTATGCCAAGTAACCATAAAAACCATCTATCACACAATTTCGTTTCTTCTTAAAGACTTGCTCTGGAATTAATCCATAAGACACAGCAACGTGGTAAACGTTGCATGTCAACATGGGACTTTGACATTTCAGTAGCTGCTGCTAATCAGAGCAGCAATCCGTTGCTGCCATGCCCATTACAGCAGATTATGCGGAACCAGTATACCTCCAGCAATAACGACACGTAAGTCTGCTTCATGATAGCACCTACTCACATTCGTTCCTCAGCGGCAATTTGAATTTCACAGTAATTGTGCGACGCTGGTAGCACCCGCTTCCTATCTTTTGCTAGTAAACAGTAATTATAGAAAAGAGTGCATCTACATGATCATATGAAACTGACGAAAAAGATAAAAAGAGGAACTAAGCAATTTGGTAGATCTAAGTACACTGTCTTCACGCTAGTTGCTAAAACATCCTACAGTGCACATTCACAACCAAAGAAAGTCCAACCCAGTAATGCGTCGAACAATATTAAAAGCCGGGTTCAAAATCTTGGAGGGACAAGCAAAGAAGTTACACCAGCGACCCAAATATTCCACTGCGTTGTGCATTCAAATACATACAAATCAAAATGTCAACCAGTACGGCTTAGTGTTGGTACAAGAAAAAGATCTACCGCCTGAAACTTGTTTTCCTGATTTAGTTTTAGAACACTCTTTTCTTTCCTCCACTTTTCTCTCTCTTTTGATTTTCCCAAGGGAAAAAAATATGAGTGTGGGTACGAGAATGGCAGCACAGCCAAGTAAATGGAGTTATGACGTGAGCCTACGTTTGCCGTCCACAATGCTTGAAATCACCGAACCCACATGATCTCTATGCATAGTAATTTAAGCTGGCTTTCTTCTTTGCTTGAACTTGGATGATACCTTCATTAAAGTCTTCATGGTTCACCTGGAAAAAGAAAAGAGTTGTTTTAAAAAATGAGCTCAGATGTCTGAAACCCCCTCCATGAAAAAACATTCCAACTTCCATGTGCAGCTTCTTAATCAATTTCTCATATTAATCCCAGCAGAATACGTAATCCCCAAAATATTCTTAAAAAACAAGGACGACTATTTTGAATCCCCATCTTCTACCCCTATCCCTGCTTTTGGTATCTAAATGTGCAAATAACTTTCACAAATTGTGTCTAACCAAGACGTCGGGAACAGGAAAAAAAAAATATTAAGAAAAAAACAATGCGGAGAGAGAGACAGACATCAGTGGCATCGCGCCGCAGTGCTAGCATGCCTGCTTCTACGCAGACGGCTTTCAGTTGTGCCCCATTGAAATCATCTGTTGAACGAGCCAGCTCCTCAAAGTTCACATCAGGGTGAACATTCATCTTTCTGGAGTGTATCTGCAATACCACCACATCAAGATAAAATGATTAAAAATGATAAGTAAACCCCAGAAAGGTATGGACAATACTAAAGCATGATGATTAAGCAGCAAGAAAAGGATAATCTAAGTTAAGAGATGTACCTGCAAGATCCGAGCCCTGGCCTCCTCAGACGGATGGGGGAACTCGATTTTGCGATCAAGTCGACCAGATCTCATCAAGGCAGGGTCTAGAATGTCAGCTCGATTTGTCGCCGCTATCACCTGCAGATGTTTTACCAAAGCAAAAGAAAAATAAGAACAACCTAACCAAGATACACAAGCACAAAACTGTCAGAAACTAGACATAATTTCATAGAAGCCCACTAAGTAACATAAATGACTAAAATCTAATATCATTGCAAAAAGCACCAAAATAGCACTACACTAGGAAGAACATCTACTGCGTGTGTGTCAAAACCTATCCCAAGTTAACCGCAAAAATCATATGCCAACAAAACGAGAACAAGGAAAAGGGGTGTGAAAAAAAATAAAAAAAGAAACCTTTATCCGATCATCGCTGCTAAAACCATCAAGCTGATTAAGCAGTTCTAACATAGTTCTCTGGACCTCCCTATCCCCACTGACTTCACTGCAAAATGAAAGTATAACTTGATCAGAGAAGGATGGACACCTGCCACAATCTGTATAGGGCTATGCAATGCTTTACTCTTTTTTTCTTTCCAATTTTTAATAAATTACGTCTTATAAACCATGAGAATCCATTAAGCACAAAAAACCCCAGGCTGAATAAAATCAAGCAGTACCCCAAGCGATTTGCTTACCTATCAAAACGCTTTGTACCAATGGCATCAATCTCATCAATAAAGATTATACAAGGAGATTTTTCCTTTGCAAGCTGGAAAGCATCACGGACAAGCTTTGCTCCATCTCCAATGAACATCTGCATCAAAGTATATTTAGTTATATTATATACAAATTGCCTGTCAACTTTATTAAAGAACACCAAATTACAGCGCTCATGCACCACATTGCAGAATCATTTGTCACCTGGAAAACTAAGCTAACCACAACCCTCTCTTTTAAGAATAAATTAAATCTCATATTAAGAATATGGATAGAAGGGAAAAGTTAAAACCATCTAGCAACAAAAGCACCAAAGAGAAATCTGAATACTTCCTCCAAAAAGGCCTAAAATTTAAAGATTAGGCAAATTATTGAATTCTTATGGTGCTCCAAAATCCATGATAAGGTGCAGCAATTAAGCCTCTGTTTTGATTAGTGAAAACACTAGTAATTCTTCAAAAATAAAGATGAGACTTCTATTTGCCCCTTAAAAGTCAAATTTGTAACTAGTTCTCTGGCATTCGCTAATGCTCATTAACCGAAAAAAAAATTTGAAAAAAAGGCACGTTGAATGGAAAGAGTATCCTAAGTTTGAAAGCAAAAAGATAATTTTTGCTAGAAACTCCAAGCAGAGCATCCAACCTAAACTCCTACTAGCAGACAAACGAGTGAATATGTGACATGCTTCATTAGAAATTACACCATAGAGTATCCCAGAAGAAACCACAGGAAGTTCCAATAAACAGACTTAGAAGAGACCAAAAATGACAATTAGAGGACCACTTGACAAATTATCCAGGATATCTATGGGGATCATAATCACCTGTACAAGCTGGGGTCCAGCCAGCTTAAGGAAAGTAGCATTTGTTTGGGCAGCACATGCACGAGCCATTAATGTCTTCCCTGTTCCAGGAGGTCCGTACAAAAGGACCCCTTTTGGTGGACGAATTCCCAACTTCTGAAACCGTTCTTTGTGGGTCATAGGCAAAACAATGGCTTCAACAAGTTCTTGGATCTATGACAATGAACACAATTCCATAAGCATGGCCAACTAAATAAGTAAATCCAAGAATGCCACAACAGAAAGCATTCCAAAAGTAAGAACTTTACCTGTTTCTCCAGACCACCAATGTCATTATAATCTTCAGTTGGTTTTTCATCAACTTCCATCGCCTTGACTCGAGAATCATACTCAGACGGTAGTGTGTCCAAGATCAAGTAACTATCTTTATTTACTCCAACCAAATCCCCAGGCTTTAATTTATCAGGGTCAACAAGGCCAACAACAGGAAGGAAAATTGTCTACAATCAAAATACAAAATGTTTAGAAAAACCAAAAAATGTATGGACTTTATGATGAACTAGACATGATTCTAGAAGCGTGAGCTCATAAACAATCATTAAAGCTTTCTATAAGGCAACTTACTTGGCGAGTGGAAGTTTTCAATACAACACATTTGCCCTTCCTTTGAGAGTCAAGGTCAATATTTGCACCATCTTCCTCAGCCTCTTCCTCTGGGTTCATTTCCAAAATCTGAAAAGTGCAAAGTCATATTAGCTAATATAGCAATCACCAGAAAAATAAATAACATACATTATATGATATGCTGACCCCAAAGGAGGCTTTTGATGAGAACATGGAATCACATGATGAAAAATAAATCCTTTGAAAAACACCTGCTCCTTCACCTAGAACCTCAGCATGGACTCTCCAGCAAAAGTATAATGGAAGATAACTGCCAGAGAAATTGAAACACAACAAAATCCAGAACGAATTTGACTTATGGTCCTAATTTTGTTTTCCCCACCCAAGTCAAATGAAACCAAATGCATTCACTGAGGGGGGGTAAAAATAGAGAACAAGGCTCAAGCCAAAACGTTTCAAGTTAAAGAAAAGCAAGAAGTAACTAAAAAAGCAATAATGCATACAATTAAAGGGCCCTCCACATCAAAAGCGCCAGTAATAGGTGTGTAGGCTGATGCTGATTCCACCAACAACCCAAAACTTTAAGCTAATGGAAGACGATTAAAAGATTTTGGATACAGAAAAATAGTTATAAATCTCACAGTAAATTTTAAGCGGTACTAAATTCTTCTCCTATCTTCTTTCTCCTCTGAATGTCTCAGGGAAAATCTGGATAAAGTTTAGGTTTTCTTTTATCAAATTAGCATCCTGAACCACAGAAACCTTCACACAATTAGCGTTCTCTTTTAATTTTATTTATCCCAATAAGTTTCAGAAGTTCAAAATGAAAAAACCATGGTCAAAAGCATGAACGATGGAAATGCCCATCAAATAAACTTATACGCAAAGTTTCTCTCAACATGCACAAAAACATAAAAAAAAAACTTTCCTTTTGGTCTAAAATTATAAGTGAAATTTACAGCATAAAAGGTCAGAAACGAAACATTGAAACTAAAATACCCTAAAAGTAAAAATCACCTCTACTATATTGCCGACCAAGTAAGGAAGCTGCTTATTGAGCTTAATTTTCTCTTGATTCTCCTTAATCTTCTCCTTGAAGGAATCCAATTCTAGATTCGTTCTCTGCAACTCTTCCTGAATTTCACCAAAATTGCACCATCAACATCAATAATTTAATTTTATCATTTTCCCCAAAAAAATCAACTTCTCATAGCAAACAAACGAAGTCCAAAATCATATTACTAATAATTTATGCAAAAAAAAAACCTTGAGGATCCGAATCTCGTTATCGAGAAGGCGAGAAGCCCTAACAATGTCGTCAGTGGACATGGAGTTGAGCTGGTCGTCTTCGAAGTTGCTGTCTTCTACCATCGGCGCCGCCATAATGTTCTCCGATCAATTCACCGTCCCCAGATTGTGTGTGTGTCTCTCGTGTGTGTTGTGTGTGAGAGAGAAAGGGATCTGTTCTGAGAGAGTAAAGAGACTTGTGAGCTCCGACTTTTCACGAGAATAAATGAGAAAAACTTCTTCTTCAAGAAAATGAAAGGGGAGATAGAAGCTTTTTCCCGAGGATTAATGGAGATATTGGATTCCGAGCCCATAATGAAGATATAGATTCAGGAACCGTAACAGTTAACGGAGTTTTTGTCTAGACTAGCCCATTTGGGAATTGGTTGCCTATACAGTTAACTGAGTTTTTGTCTAGACTAGCCCATTTGGGAATTGGTTGCCTATAAAAGGTGAATAGAACGCTTTTTGACCCTTTTTTTTTTTTTGGTTTGTGTAACCTATAGAAAACTCGTTAAAATATATCTCAGGTATTAAATTTTTTAAAGATGAAATTAATTATGAAAAGTGTTTAAATGTACGGGAGATTAATAATTATTAGTATATATATATATATATATACATAATAATTTAGGTGAAATCTATGTGTGTTAACGAGTGCTCAATAGATACCTATTAGGAAAACCCCAACCTTTGTTTTTTATTTTAAAGTATACAATAGTTTAGGAGGACCAATGTAGCACGCTTGAATTATATTTTTTTTAGAATTGTTAAAATAAATGAGCTACTTTTAATCAAAGCAATTCAAAAAGAAAAAAAAAAGGCGATGCACGGAAATGACCACATAGCACAACAAACAAAAAATTGTAAAAGAGACCTAATTGAAATAAGGAAAGATATTCATTTACCTCAAAATAGTACGTTGCGCACTCTTTTTGTGTATTTAGCTTATTATACATGTTTGTCATTTGACTTGAAATAATTCAAATTGTATGCAAACTATAAATAAGCTAGAGATATAAAATAGAATGCAATCACAGGATATTAGTTGTATCTATAAGTAAGATAATAGTTTTCTTGGAAAAATATAGCGATTGCTATTTTTTTGGAAAAATAGGTCGCTGGGATTGCTATTTTTTGGATTTTCTGTAGAAAAATATACTGTAATAATTTAATGTATGTGAGATAAAAAGATGATTGAAAAATATGATCACGGAAAATATAAACATTTTTCTTTGAAAAACTTCAATCCAAACAAGGAAGCTCCGTTTTACTCTTTGTTCTCCCTAATCTAAATCTGATAGCCTGGCATTACCTTGCACCTATTTGAAAATTTAGGAACATTGAAGACAAAGTCAGATATTGTGATAGCTTTTAGTAATTTCTTTTTAAGGTAATATATACAATCAAGTTTTTTCTCTGTCTTCTTCTTCTTTCTCTTGTTTCCCCCCTACGCAAAACAAGTCAACAAAAATGAAAAACGTTTATTTGCCAAATTCATATACTTTTGGCGAATAAAAGATACCAATCAGTTTTGCAGTGGACGTTCTTGCACACTTTGCTTCCTATATGATAATGTAATTTTGTCCTACCACAATTAATGGGAAAAAAAACTGATAAGAGCCCAACATGTTCTTGAAGACAATATTATATGGATTCCTCATTCCTATGAAATTAATTTTTGGTTGGAACTCTGTTTTTTTTTTTTTTAGTGTAAATTCCTTAATGTCTAGTGACTGCATTGGACCCCAGCTAATTCGAGTGAGCATCTTAAGCCCCATTTTTCTGATTTGGAGACCTACTGAAAATGTTGAGTTCAGTAACAAATCAGCTTATAAAACCTTACACAGGTAGCAGAAGGTATCAGTTATGATGAAATATGGTGCTATAATTAACAAAGCTAGAAAAGGCCTGAAATGCATCAAGCACAGAAACTTAAAGCTTCCAGTAAATTCCCAACCGGTGGAAAATGCCAGCAACAATAGCCCAGAACAGTATCTCTGCGAAGATGACATAAAGTAGAATCCCTACTTTTGTTGAATGCCAAACGTCAATGAATATGTGCTTCTGAATCCAATGTACCTATAGAGAATGTTTTGACAGTCAGACACTCATCAAGTATTGCAATTATTGAGCAGTGAAAAATAAACATATTAAGGCTGAATATTTGGCAGCTAAAAGGAGTGGAATACCAGTGTGTTATGAGGGTTGTCGTAATACCACCCGTTAATGAATCCTGCGAAAATGTCTGCAGCTGCCATGACATATACAAGCATGGCGTTCATACCAATCCATTCAAGTGGCAGAAACAGATACCTCAATTTCCAAATGTCAACCTGGAATGGAGTGAGAAATACTTGATTAGATCAAGATTGAGTAAGCAAAAGTATGAGTTTGCTCATTTCAGATACCCCCAATGATATACTATTCATTATTAAGTTAGTATCCACGAGGGCTCGAAGATTCATCTATGCAGATAATAAGGGCACATGGAATTTGTGTCATTGTATGCCTTTAGGAAGCTTTGATATTTACCAGTTTCTGTTTTGATTTGTGCAAGAGAATGGCGCTAGACCCAAAACTTTGAAATTTTCTTTTGCTTCATTTGATTGTCCATTGCATGTAAAGATGGCCTCCTTTGTTACCTGAAGCCTGCTCTAATTATCTTGTTTGAAATGATAATTTCTCTTGCAAACTTGACAGTGTGTTCACTGGTGGCATGGTAATCATTTTTTTCCATGTTTCTGCAATTCTCATCTAAGTTCAGTTTAAGAGTATGTCTATCTAGCACAGGAAGTCAGACTCATTTTATACTGAGTGCAACCAATGCCTATGCTTGAAAACATAAAATTTCGGTACTTAATTTAATGGATTCAAATCTTAACATATACAGACTGTTTGATAATCAAAAATTGAACATCTAAATTAATTAAGTGGCACTAAATTCCTAGGCAAAACTTGCTCTCAAAATTAAGTGATAAGCTATTCACTTATCACTGAATATGATATGCACTCAAATCTAATAGATTTAATACTTAACAATTCAATAATTTAATAGATTCAGACTTCAGATTTCAGACTTCAGACTTCAGTTTTATCAAACGCACCCTTAGCTGTTGAGGTACAAGTCTCAAACAAGACATGTAGTTTCAGTAAAGTATGTCATTTGAAATGCCAAGGGCATTTTAGGGTCAGCACTAGAGGAAGATAAACTCATTATGTGCCAAGTCAAACCAGGCAGGTGCACAATCAAGAAAGCATAGTTTTGTAGCTTTCACTAAGGAACCAGTGTGACTAGAATGTATGCAGGCCAGAAGATTATTCTGCGAGTAGCATACCAGGACATAGAATGCTGAGAACACTAGAGCTGCTGCTCCTGCCGTTACACAAACATAGCTGAGAGTATACAGTTGCTTATTTAAGGGAATAGCTGCATCCAACCAAATCAGTGAGTAAATTGATGTATATGACCAGACGAGCGAGAGATGTAATTTTTTCATCTCATGCTCTACAGATGCTGCCTAATGTCAAATAAAACCAAGTCCGAGGATTTGAAATACGATTTGCTGCCTGATTTGCTCATAGGGAAACAGAGAATAGTAGAGCTCACCATGTGTAAAATGAAGAGTAATTCCAAAAATCAAAAGAGCTGAACCCATGACAGTCCAGTGCCAAAGTCTGGATGAGTGATCCTGAAATTCAGGAACTAAGGACTTTTAGTGACATTCAGTGAATAACAGTTGTCCCAAACATAAGATATATATATATATATCTATCAAACCTTCATATGTATAAGAACATGTCCAAAATGAACTCCAATGATTGTAGAGAGGATTGCAGAAATTGAGCTGCAGTCAAAAGACTTTTGTTTAGAATTTCCAAACTGTATCCTGAACATAGATAATAAAAAGAAAGAGGCGCATTGAGCATCATCTATTTTGGCTTAGCTATACATTTAGTTAGCTGTTGGAACATGTTAACTAGGACCAGGCTAATATTTCAACTAAAACTAGTGCCAGTTCTCAAATTGAAATGAACTAATGATACATACCTCAGAATTCCTTCTGGTTCAAAAGGTGCTACGCACCATGCTGGAGCATCATCCCGAAAAGGTCCCTCATGAGGAGAACTGTAAGTGCAAGCCTGCAGGACAGAATTCCCATGAAAAGTTTCCGAGGGCCGTAAAGCAGAAGCAAACAATGTACGTAGTGATTGATAAGAACTTTTGCATTCAAAAACAGCCCTGCAGACCTTGGATCTCTTCCAAGCTGGATGTTGATACATGTGATTAATACCAAGCACTTTTCTGTCAACATAACCCACTGCATTACAAGGAGGATCCAATTTTCCTCTGACATTGCAGGTTACCTGCACAATCAACCAATTAGAATGCATATACAAGTACCAAAGCATCTTTACCTATTCGACTGAAGGTGCTCAGAGAGAAAGAAGCGAGTGGGAAACAAACACCACTTGACAACCACAAGAATGATTAAGAAGCACATTGATCTTTGTTGAGAAATGCAACAATTACACTTGCATGATATGCTTAGATTGCATTGAATGAATGAATTATGTTCATCTTGTGAAGTATTATAATTAGGGGATATGAAGCTGGTCATAGACAATTCAGATTTTCTTAAATGTCCTTAGAATGAATGGCCAACATCGACTAAGTAGCTAAAGCTTATTTTTCCCTGCTTCTGAATCTCCAGCAAAAGTAAACATAACATCAATGACATCTACAACTGTAAAACAGTGCATCCCGGTAACTGTATTCTTTATATGGCAGAAGCAAAGAACATACAGTTAACATCTTGCCCAAAAGTGTGCTATCTTCATTGTGGACGATGAAGTGCCAATCAGGAACACGAGTTCCGTATAACACAGCCAGGTAAATAATTAAAACAGATGCTCCTAACACCCTGAAGAATATACCAGAATCAGAATACTTTACAATATGATTGATTGTACAAGATCAGAAGAAGAGTGGAGTACAAACCAATGCCAAATATACATCTTGAATATAGAGAACCATTGATGTGAAAGATCCTTAACTTGAGCATTTCTTGTTGAGATTTCAAACAATGCCACTACCAGATAAGCAAGAGCAATTCTCTAGAAATGCAAACCAAAATTGGCTCAGTGTACAGTTTGTTGAACTAAGAAAAAAACTTGTCAACTTCAACAAATAAGAAAAATGTAATTTGGGTCACCTGGAGAATGCCACACCATCTTATTCTTTTCATATCGACACCATATGTAAGTTTATCT